CCCCCCCCGCCCTTCGGGTTCTTACCGGCCATTCAGGAACCGCGCAAACCGAATCCGAGCCGTCTCGCTCATATCGGACCGCAAAACTCGAACTTCCCTTTGTGACCGATGGAATTCGCCCGGGTCCTTAGTCGGTCGCTTATCGGTCAATTTGCAAAGCATTCGCGGAGTCTGTGTTTACGGGGCGCTCTGTTCGGGCTAATTGTTCTCTCCAGACTGAATTAGCGATTAGACGGATCTCTCTGTCGCACCGTGGCTTGAGGCGATGTGTCGCCTACTAGAGAATCTCGGCCAATTTCGATAAGCGATAAGCGATGCGGTTATTTAATCGGACTTCCGGTCGGCAAAACGAATGAAAACGCGGAATGATGTGCAGGTCAGGATTAAAACGAATTCAATTTGCCTAATGGCCAATTATTGCGCGTCCATTATTTGCGTTTCGGCTACACGTCTCGGGTTACCGTTACAGGAAAAATAACACAAATGTAAAAAATTAATACGAAATTGCAATATCCATGATATGTTAATCTCAGTCTTTGAGATGATGTAGTTTTGCTGACACGCTTTCTCAATGGAACCATCTCTTCTCTCTTCCGCTCACTACTCGGGAAAGAGAGAAAGAAATATCACAGAATTATACTTAACCGGTGACACCCCAACACGTTCTCGACATCGTATCTCCGACGAATAATAATACCGATCAGTCGGAAGTTTCCGCTACCGAAGCGCCCGCCGAAAGTTATCGCCGATTCCTCCATTTCGGCCTCCCCCAAACTTTTAATCTGTCGTGAACGTGCGCGCTGTACTTCGCCGGAAATTTACCGGGAACGACAATTATCGCGCGGACGTCAAACCAATTCGGAGACGAGAGACTTCCCCGAAAGTGCGAAAACTCGCCGCGATCCCCTCAGAAGAGGGAACACTTCCACGATAATGGTACGTGTCATGCCCGGGATCCTTCTATTCGTGCAATCTCGAGTTGGGTGAGAGTGGAAAGAGCGTACATGTGGGCGAAGCCGAAGGACGTAAAGGCTCCTACGGCTTTCGGCCTCCTTCCTCGATCGTCAATTCCTGCCGGTTGCTCTTATTTTGTGTACCGGGCACCCCTATAAACATTCCCATCCATCAAGCGCCACGGCACGTAATATCACGAGTGCGCGCGTGCCCTCTCCTCTCTCTCTCTCTCTCTCTCTCACGGATTGTACGCACCTACACGTACCCAGTAATGGAGCGATCGGCAGAGTTACAGCTTTTCGATCAGGTCGCTCGGCTCTAAAATTACCGGCGAATGATTCTCGTGCGAGCATCTGCTCGTGATTTCCTTGCGGTGTTGTTTCCCGGTAAAGCTGGATGCACTACGGTACAAAAGTGCACTCCATTTGTTGGCGAAATAAGGGACGACGCCGCCTTGACCGTCCACGCTTCTTTACTCTCTTTTCCCGATCTCGGGCGCCATTAAGGCGTCTTGCTCGAAGGCTTTAATTCGTTTATCGGTGAATAAGAAAATACACTCTTGATGTACTCTTTTTATGCCAAAAAAAGGCAATTAAACAAAGTCAAAACACTCCATTTTAACTTGGCAGGACAGTACGCAGTTTCATTAATTAGCCGGGGTAACGAGGGGAATATTTTAATCCTGTATCATTGCACAAGCTGGCATTATATTTTACCGAATATATAATGTTTATCGATTGATCGTGTAGCAAAAATATTTACATTGGATTAATTTGTGACGACGTACAAGCTTTGCCGGGCTTATAATGTAATTTAGTTTAACGCGCGGAGCCAGCGTTGAACTCAGCGCTGTGGTTCCAGTTAATGATGACGATAACGAACCGAGCTTGATGTCGGCCAATTACTTGAGCTCTCACGTATATTAATCATCTATTTCGCGAGCGCCGTGTTTTATTATTTATTTATGTTCTCCCGCGTGTGCATTATATTTCGATCTATCACTTAATAGGCAAACATAAACCGTTATCGCGCGCTTTTCTATGTGTATCGGTCGTTAAAACATTTTATGTAATTGAATGATCGCGCGATATCGCGCTTCATTGATTCTAAGTAATCAGTGTACAGCGCAAGCGAGTTGAAATAATCTCGCACTGTCGGAATATGCAAGTTTCGATGATTTGTTTCATCGGGGATCAATGCGAATTACATATCAGCACGCATTACGCAGTATGACGCTTTGTGAGCGTTCAAATTTCACGTTCCGTCTCGTTAGACAGAAAAAGTGTGGCAGGCGCCGAAAATAAATATTAACTCGTAATGAAATTAACTATTTCTTTTCCTCTCGGTTTATATGGAGAAAAATAATTTCGCTGTTGTAACGAAAACATCGTTGTTACTGCACATTAGTTGCGACAGTAATAAAACTTTATTGGCTTAACCAAATGAACGAGTTATTCTTAATTAAAGCAGAAACAGTTTTGTTGCCAGGATAGAAAATATTCTGCTGAATGAAGCTGCTTTTAAAACATGTTAATTTGCTGTTAGAATAAAATAGTGCTTTTCTACATTTACCGATGTACCGAGAACTCAAGATCGGCCATGTTCCGCCGCAATTCTGGAACAGAAAAATAGCATCGCCGATTAGACGCGAATGTTAATAGCTTGACGAGAAAAATACGCGGTGGACATGAGCGTGTTTATTTCCCGCGACTGTTGTAGCTCAGCGAATTTTACTTTCATAGGTATGCTTCCAGTTTCGATTGCAAGTGGCTAAATACAAAAGCACAGAAGTCTGTAAATCCTACCTTTGAGCCAACTCTGCTTAACCCGAACCAGATCCTCCGGTGCCTGCATTCGCGTCCGCTGCAACCTTCACTCTCCGGGAATCGCACCCACCGTGGCTCAGATCTGCAACAAAAAGCGAGTTTTCCGGTTAATCGTATAAAAAGATACAAATATATCAAAAATAAACAAGTTCGATATCGTATATTTCTCTTCCGGACCGAGAAAGATCCAAAATCGTAATCACCTGACAGAATTCTAGAATACTGCCATTGCTTGAAATAATCCCATTGATAATCACACATATGACAATGACACGTGCAAAATAATCTAACACGTACTATACATTGTCCGATCTATCGGGAATCGCGCGCGACGTCTCCCGATTTGTTCACCGGCGCGCGTCTTACCTTTCTCTACATCAACACTATACATTATTTTATAATATCTAGATCCTATTTGACGTTTCAACTGTCGAAATACGTAATTCCCGCGATGACAGTCGTTCCCGATAAACGTCCAAATGCGCAACGACTCGCATCGAGATCGAGATAATTAATCGGCATCACGGAAAACAACCAACATGGAAATAACTCGTGTTTTTTAACATGGGAGATTGCGCCGCCGCATGTATACTAATCATGTATTAAGCGAGTGCCGCATTTAATTTCATTCGTAATCTCTTTCGTGTGCATTGTATCTCGATCTACCTCGCTTAATAGCCAAGCAGAAACCGTCACTGTGCGCTTTCCTTTTCGCCGATCGTTACATTTTATATAATACGTTACAAATGTAAACGATACGTTCGTTGTTAAAACATCGGTGATTAATATTTACGGCTATCGCGGCCGTTTTCGGTCCGTTGTTAGAATAATGTAAAACAAGACGCGGATGCGGGTAAAAAGTGAATAAGTGTGCCGTCGATGTTGCTAACGCCGAAAAATGTGCAATCTACAACGATCAATACTGCAATTATCATCATCGTCGTCAATACGTTTTTTTTTTACGGTATTGTTGCCACTTTTCGAAACAACAACGGGCTGTTCAAAAGGTGCAATTAACGTTCGGCCTTAGATAATACAATGGAGATTAACAATTTCCCGTTCAAAAGAGTGATCGCGTCTCGCTTGTTAACAAAGGGCTTTTGATAAATTAACAAAGATCACGCTCTTTTTTTAATCTATATGTAGATATACGTGAGTGGGTATGAATAATAATCGAAAAGCCGCGCGTCGCATCGTCACCGTTCATTTTTCGCGGCTGAAATTTTCGTGTTGCAACTTTTTTTTGTTAATATTTATGTATGTTTGTGCATCGGTATACTCTGCATTTACATATTCGTATATTTAATATCTAATATAGTTAATATTTATATGTGCTTGAGGCATCTGGCCTCAATATTATGTATCACCTGTCGCTTCCTATCTGCATTTGTTAAGTAAAAATAACTCGCGAGTGCGTGATCTATTATCGGGCAGGACGGATACAAGGTTTATGAAGGTTTATGAAGGACGAACTTTTTATCGCTTACAGGAAGTACGCCGCTCGAATCGGTCAATGTGTAGTAAAATCGTTGGCTGAACGAATCTCTCTCTCTCTCTCTCTCTCTCTCTCTCTCTCTCTCTCTCTCTCTCTGCGTGTAAGGGGGATGAAATTTATTCTGTAGAGTTTTCCGTACCCGGAGGAATTCCGGGGGCGGATTGATGAATTTTTATCTGAATTCGACGTGTCGATGAAGCGCATACGGCTGTAGTTGCGTGTTTTTTTTTCTTCTTTTTCATTGATGGAATAAGATAAATTAAACGACGACGCAGACAAATCTGTCCGAAATGTCCGGATAACGCAAACACGGGTGCTCTCTTCCCCCGCGGCTGCGATACGTTTTTACGAGTTGGCGCGTTTTCACACCCTCGGAAGTATCGTGTGCGCGATTGATCCCCGCTAATTTCGAGGCCCACGATTTACGAGCGTCTCCCTCTCTCTTTCGTGTGCGCACGGAGAGGCACGAAAACGATATATACGAACGGGAAAGACAGAGAGAGAGAGAGAAAGAGAGAAACGAAGGGTGGCGAAATATCGTCCGAAACAAAATGATCGCGATTGACAGACGACAGAGAAGGAGGGGAGCGGTGATTTCTGCAAACAGACGCGACAAATATTTTGTAGCGAAATCAACTACCGCGCGCTCTCGCGCGGTACACAGACCTCCGTAACGACTTAAAATTTTATTTGTTCAGGCAACACAAAACGACTCTCTCTCTCTCTCTCTCTCTTTCTCCCTCTCTTCTCTTCGTAGCGGTGTACAACCGACAATCAGCGATAGTCTTCGCTTAGACCCCACCCAAAAATGCTTTCTCCGTTGATTGCCGAGCTTCTGGCCTCTCCACCTTGTCATTTCGATATTTACGCGAAATTACGGATCCCTCCCGGAAACGAGTCCACGACCGGAAATCCTTGGCAGTCGTACAAGTTGGCAGGCCGGTGGCTTCTTTAATCTTCGGATGCGGCGCGCGGCCACCGCGCGAGCGCACCGAAATTGATTATAAAACGTGTCCGGTTCTGGATCTTTCATTTCGTCGTACTTGCACCGAGTGCGGCACAAATATTGCGTTTCTCATATGTCGGTAGTCTCATCCGCGCGAAATAACACCGCTACGCGCTGCTCATTTGGAGACGAGCGCGTTGGCAATTTCAAGCACAAATGGAAGGCACGGAAAGCGTCAATAATGCCTTTCAGTTCCACTTTAGGCATTTTTCGTTCCTCGAACGCAAGCATTTCGCGACACCGCGCGCAGTGTGGATTAAATTCGCGCGAGAATAAAATTCCCACGACCGCGTTTTCTCGTTCACGACTCGTAGTCGAATTTACTTCATTGAAAATGAAAAAATAAATGAAAGCGATCACCAGTGGCTCCTGAATGGTATGCTCTGGGAAAAGCGGAGCTTTGTCGCGAATCAACACGCGAGTCGACATTTTAATTCAACATTTATCCTCGAAATTCTGCCAAGCAATCAGAATATTTCCAACAATAACAAAAATAATAATCAAGAAATTGTGAAAGAGAGATGAATCTCTTGTGAAAGTAAAAGGTCTATTATTTTATTTACTCACTTAAATGAAGAACAAATTCGCATTCGTTCGATTTGTTTGGCGCCGATCACAATAGAATGTTAATTGAAAACGCATTCAAGAAAATATGCAACGTTGGAAATGGGAAACTTGCAAACCAACGATAATTTTTTTTGACAAGTTTAATCAGAAATAAATCCGCAATTCCGCGATATTGGTCGACGAATGTCGACGGTAAAATTAAGGTCGTGGCTTATGGGTTGTTCCGTGCGCAAGAAATATCCGTAAATTCATTTGTTTGTTATAATATACTTATTATATTTATACGAGCGCATCTCTCTCTCTCTCTCTCTCTCTCTCTCTCTCTCTCTCTCTCTTGAGAGATGCCATAAAACGCGCTTCGAGGAAGCAACGTCGCAAACGTCTACGAACGCGGGAATGCACGCGCACGCGGACGATGCTCCACTTCTATACAACAGCATGGCGATGAAATTACAAACAGCAAATCGTCCCGCGTTTTATAGTTACTATTGTCTAATTTTACCACGCCGGTGCTCCGCCGAAGAGGAGGAGGCCATCAGCGATTTACAGCCTTTGTCGTTTAAGCGGCCGCTTGACGACCAATTTTGGCAGGGTCGTTTCGGTCTTATAGGGGGGCTTTTGCGAGCTCCCTATTCCCGCGAGATGATAAACGCGATTTTACAATCGATACTCGCGACCGCGATATAAGCAATTAATAGCCGCTATCTGAATTATCGCCGATACATACGGGAGAAAGTTTCCCGTACGCGCGTGCATCGCGCGTCGAATTTATTTCGCGTCCGTAAATTCCCCCCGCCGAAACGCAATAACAGAGTCATTCGAAACATAAATAACAATTCTAAAGATCCTTTGTTCCTCGCGTAACTCAAATTAAAGATCGTTTCGCAATGTTTCTTAATTAAACGACATTCACTGAAATCACTAATCTTCCAACATTCCTAACTATAGTTTTAAAGGTTTTCGAAAAAAAAAACCTGGCTTTTTTTCAGTTTTTCTGCAGATTTTTTTTTTGTTTTTTACCTCCTTTGCGGAAAAAGTAAACGTGGCAGTTTTTGACCGAACACGTGTAAATTTTTCCAAACGAATTTTTATACCCCTGAGACAGACGCCGAAAAAATCCGCGGAAAAATGGGGAAAAATAGTTCTTTTCTTTAAAACTATAATACTAACGTCAAAAATTTCGACGCGTTACAGTAAAGAAACAAATATAGAATGGAGTAATATAATTATTAAATTAATCAGCGGGTAAGATTTGATACATAACGCTTAAAAAAAAAATTGCACTCTGCCTTACGTTGCTCGATATTCGTGGCAACGAGAAACCCTGTAATATCGGCGGGTTGTTAAACAGTGGCCTTACCAACGCGAACTACCGCGGGATAGTATCTCCGTCGTTATTTTGGACGGACCGCAACTAGCTCGGGTTACCTGATTAATTAATGACTAGTCTACATTCACGGGGATGACATTTCGTTATGCGAGCGCGCTTTGTTGCGTCGCGCCCAGCGCCGTTATTGCCGCGCTAATTCATCTGATCGGCCGTTTATTAGCATTACACTCCTAGAATGTAATTCCGTGTACGTGCCGTCCATTAGCAGACGCGTAAACCCATTCAGCCATCGAGACAACATTACATTCAAACAACATCTCGCGCGCTCGTCGAGAATTACATCATGCGAAGAACCTAATTGTAATCCCTCCGGTCTGCAGAAACGCAATTAACGGTCATCGGAAAAAGGAGTGCTAGCTTATCGAGGAATTCAACGAGTGAAGAATATTTAAAAGCGTTGTCGGTTTATACGACTCACCTCGAATCATCTCGCGAATTTCTCTTTCAAATGTCTATGTCGCGGTTGTCTCAGCAATCGTGTCGCTCAATAGTGTGTTGAATATACACGATAAAAAAATCTTGTGTCCAAATGTTAAAATTTACTTGCGTTACCAACTTTTGACTGTTACTTCAACGTAAAATTTAGAATGGACTTTCTGCAAAACATGTTAAAATTAACATTTT